TTGGCGAATGTCTTTTGAGGATTGGAGGATGGCATACGGGGGGGAATGCGAAAGAGGAGCAGGGAAGGATAGTGCTTTATCTCCAGAAGAGTTACCGAAGATGAAACTCGATTTGCACAACTCTTGAGGGTTGTACAGTACCTCCAGGGAAGCACAGAGTGTGTTAGATTTCAAAATTCTAATAAATTTGAAGGATTACTAGCGGCTATCACTCCTCATGGGGTAAAAGAGTCTGGGGCGTCGCTGCTCAAAATCTTGAGTATTTGAAATGTAAGCCTATTCCCACATTGATTCAACTCTGATTCAATCTTTTGATTGGACGGCTCTTCCTGGACTCTCATTTGCATCTACGTTTCTTCAGCGATCGTTTGTCGTGTGTCAGCTTTGTGCAAGGCGATAAGTGGGCCTACCCAAGAGGCAGGCGGAGATGATGATGATGACGATAATGATGGACGCATTGAGGCGGCCATTTAACGCCCACTTAGGCACGATCCCCCATTGCCCCATTACTCAGCCGAGCACTAGCGAACATTGCAATACACAGATACAGCTAGTCACAGATACAAAAACAGACAGTCACAGTCACAGCTACAGATACAGATACGGCAAGGCACAGAGATACAATAACAATGTGTTAATTATACGGCTGACGCCCACGCCGTAGCTGTAGCTGAAGCCAAAGCCCACCGCTGAAAGCAATCAGATACAATCAGCGAACTGAAATTGAAGAAGTCCCATGGATGGGATGGTGACGATGACGATGACGATCGCAATGTGCAATTTTGTTTTGTTTGATTGTGGCCTGTAAATGAATAAACACATGTCCATGTCATGGTGTTTGCACACTCACAGATACAGATACACTCAGAGCACACTCGAACAGACACCCATGGGATTGTTGTGGGCACGACGCGCTCAATTTAACGCATACGCCCCATTGTACCCGGCCAGAGTGGAGCAGAGTCGTGCCAAGAGACGCAATAACATCGACATCCACATCAACATCGACATCGACATCGTCATCAGGGTCATCATGTTACAAGTGCCCCCTACTGCTCCTCCTCCTTTTCCCACTCGCGTCTGTACGAGTTGGGTATATATAATTACGAGTATGCACCTCATGCCTCATGTCTCATGCCTCATGCTTTCCTCTTTTGAAATCCCTCTCCTTTCTCTCGCTGTTTTACTCCACTTTTCCGTTTGGCAAACTTTATGGTGCTTTGTCTTTTTAGCACTTTCATAACTCGCGTAGCGCACATAAAAAACTCGTATTAATTAGATAGCTCTGGAGTTTCGGGTGGATGGACGAATTGCCACAGTTGAAATGGGGCTGCGCTCAGTAAGATTTACATTTTAGTTTGGTCAATGGCCATTTCTTGTAGATATTGTAAATGGAATCCACTTGCAGAAGTTCTGATCCAATTCCCCAAAGAAAGTTGAAAAATCAACAAGTCGTCGGAAATTTGATGTTAATAAATGAAGTATGAGCGTTCTGAGACCTTCTGTATAGCTTAAAAAAAAAATTACAAGGGCAATAATGACTTTACAAAAAATAACGTTTTGTTTTTGGCCATTTAAGTGGATCCTGGACCACTTCCGCCAGGTATGGGTTCTGAACAAGTACGATCCCAGCCAGGAAAATCCAGAAAATGTTGGAATTTTTTCTTGTGCTTGGGAATGGGATACTGCTCCCATCTATTGGCTCTCGAATTGTGAACTAGTCAGTTGTAGTTACGATTTATAGAGAATGCACTTTCTAGACCTGTTGAGGATATCGTTTGGGTAGAAACAAAAGAAAAACTTAGCCACACACGAGTATTGTTACCGTTCACCAAAATCCAATAAAAACAAATTAAGAGAAAGAGTCTCGGAAGAGCATCTATACTCAAATACAGACAGAGGTAAACAGACTGATAGAAAAAGATACTTATAGGGAAATGAAAATGGAGGTACAGATTGAGATAGAGAAAGAGCTGAATGGAAGAGTGGAGAAAGCCAGAGCTCGTGACGTTTTGTTTGCTTTGATTTTCATATCATTTGTTTTTGGATTTTTGTTTATTTTATCCACTTTTTATTGCATTTTGAAGCCGTGGAGCTTTCGCTTCAATCGCAAATCTTTTCGCTTTGAATGATGGTTGATTGATGAGCCACTGAAATAGACAGACAGACACTCCAAATGGATTCGATTCGAATTGAATGCTTTCGGCCCAACAGTTTTGTATGATTTTATATTACAATAAAGGTACCGCACTGTACTGGAATGCCTGTCCCCGTCCCTGCTTATTGCTCTGGATGCATGGAAAATGCCCACAGATCGATGGCTTTCCAATTTGTTTTGGGTGTCTTTTGTATCTGTTGATCGATTATGTGTGGCAGTGGCCAGATTCGGATCCCACCAGCCAGCCAGCAAGCAGCGACCAGGCGGCACCAGCCACAAAACGAGGCAATTTTCTAAATTAGCCAAATCGAATGGCCGAAACGTGCAGCAGCCACCAGCCACCAGCCCCCAGCCCCATGCAAGGCAAATAAATAATAATAAAGTAATCTATACTTACCACACGACATATCGCTCGATGTGTTTGACCCATTTCTGGCAGCAGACGCGGACCCGGGCCGAACACTATCAGACATCGCTCGAAAAAACCAACCAAAAATACTCGTACTCGTACTCGTACTTTTTGCCAGGAGCCCGATTCGGAGACGGCCAGAGACTAGAGACCCAAAGCACTACCCAATTACACTTAACAAACTCATTATGTTCAGCGGTTGCCGGTCGCAGACCTCAGCATTAAAGGAACGCTCGCTCCGAGAGGTCGAAGTATCGAATACCCTTGCTGACCCATACTTATCATGGCAGATATATGATAAAGAACCTTGGCCGAGGTCCAATTTGATTTATTTACATCTAAAAATCCTATGATGTGTGTTTTCTATCGGATTACGTGGCTCCTTCTCCTCGATCCTCATATCCTCATTTGCCCACTTGACTTGTGTGATACGAGACTGCATTCTAATAGATAACTGAAGCACCCGTGAGGAATCCCCATAATCTTAGCACTAGTTGGCAAATACTCTATTTATTGGCTTGGAAAATGCTTCATTCTCTTCGGTGAAACATTTCATAATAGCATGGGACCCTCCGAAAGCGTATGGAAACTACCAGCGGGTGTCAGGCCAAGAAATTGCCGCCAACATTGCATGCAGTGAAAACTCTGAAAAATTCCAAACAAAACAAGAAGAAACAAAAAAAGACAGAAACACCAAAAAAGATACAAGCAACAAAAATTGTGTTGAAACTAAAATTGAGTGGAAGCAGGCAGCATATGAAAGGCCGGCTCCTGGCCGAGGGTGGGGTCCGAGTGGGGCCTGGGGCCGAAGAGGTTGGTGCGAGTACAGAGGGGCCAAAACATTTATGCCTAGAACCCAGGCGACTTACAATTTATGCCAGCTGCCCGGCTCACATTATTATCGACTTTTATCGATACGACATTTGACTGCTCACCAGACCCCGAAACCCAAACCCCAGACTCCAGATCCCAGACCCAAACTAGACTCGGACTCGGAGTCGGACTCAGAGGCAACTCAGAGCTGAACATGTCGCTGGACGAATGTAATTGAGTTGGCATACGGCTCGGCGAGTCGAGTCTGGGTCTGCCACTGTCACTTCCCCAAGAATTTTACAAAGAGTCAAACACACGGGGGTTCCTTATGGGATAGAAAATTGCTGGAAATTGGTCATTATCCAAGGATCGAGTCTTCCACTGCACTCAGAAAATAAATATTTTTCAGAATGTTAGCAATGTTCGAAAATGTCCACAGGTTGGATCGAAAGTATTGCAAAGATCCAAAAGTAGAGGATTGCCTCTTCAATCAGATCATTTAGCTATATTAACTTCCAGGCCTCAATTACCATACTCGCAAAGGGTCGTCGGATATGGGTCACAAGAATTCAATCAAAAGGGAAATATAAGAACAAAAGCAAATGTTTTTAGTTTTTGATGACTTTACAAAATAGAACGTTTGGTTTATTTATTTTAAAATAAGTTTTTTACCCATTTAAATGGATCCTGGAGCAGTACCGTCACATAGGCATTCTGTAGGAGTACTTTGCCTGCGAATGCAGTCAGTATCCCAGCTAGGATGAAACATAGAAGCTTTTTCGGAATCTTATGGTACACCGTTTCCTCTATCTTGACCTTTAGCAGGTCTCGTATTTCTTGGAATTGAGCGGGAGTCAGCTCCATATTCGGATCTAAACCTAGATCCTGGCATAGTGTCACCAATTGATTGTTTATTCCTTTCGTTTTGTACTTGGGCATGGACAACTTCCGCCATCTATTGATTTTGAATATTCTCATTCTGGCAATTGTTCGCCTTCCTACCGTCAGAGATCCAGTGAAATTATTCATTTTAGATCTGAAAAGCAAAGTTGAAAGTATTAAGCGTTTTTCTTCAAAAAGTTTCTACACAAAATAATATTTTACTTGTTTTGTAAGCCTCGGGACAATTTTTACTAGCGACTTATAGAGAATGCCTTCTCTAGACCTACTGAGGATATCGTTTGGATTGAAACAGACAGATTGATCAGGATTTTGGTTTATTTTCTTTTTGAAGGATCGTGCTTAAAGGTCTTCACCTGACCGGAAATAGTGTCGAAAGACTTTCGTTTCCTTTTCAGCCTGTGCGTCAGCCTCTTTCGTAGTTTCAGTCATCGTTATGGTGGACCAAAAACACATGTTCGGCAACACATTTCACCACTTGATGTCAAACATCATACAAAGACGTTAAGAGTCTTCCGCTGCGCCGCCACGCACCACTCAAAGCCGCCGCAGGCAGAAAGCTCCCGAGACTCGAGTGGCGCTGGCCCATCCACCATTCATCCACCGTACAATCCACATCCACATCCCAACCCACTGAAGCAGTGAAGTACTGAAGCAGTGAAGCACTGAAGTCTTTTCTTTGCAGTCGAGTCTCTAGCTGATTTCTCTTTTCTATTGCAGCTGAGTTCCCGGAGGAAGATGGAGACATGCTGATGGAGCCGAATGAGTTTACCCCGATCACGGTGCTGCGATCCCAGGAGCAGCACTTCCACATGCCGCCCAGCACCCAGCTGCAGCCCAGACAGTTCCAGGCGCCCATCCGGCAGGAGCAGGAGCCGGAGCAGGAGCAGTTCCGACCCATTGCCAATCCGAACACGAAGCTGGTGGCACGCTCCGATGTGGGGGCCGATTCGCACAGCCAAGCGGCCCAGAACTTCTATCCCCCGTTCTACCATGAGGCACCGCCGCTGGGTCACTCGCGGCCTTATTTTGGAGTGAGCCACGGCCACGGATCCGTCTCGGAGAGCACACCCCTGTCTCTCCCATTACCTCTATTGGCGCCTGGACAGCACCCCGGACAGCAGCAGCAGCAGCAGCAGGTGCAGCCCCAGCCACATCCCCATCCCCATCCCCAGCAGCAGCCGCAGCATCCGCAGCAGCGTAACTTCGATGCCAGCATCCTGGGGAGCGGGGACTTTGGAGTGCTGAGAGGTGGCACCTTCTACCCGGAGGAGGAGATGCCCTACCATCCGGAGGACAACAGCGATTACATCTACGGGGACGCCAACAACGGACACGGACGGCCCACCGAGGGCTTCGTCCAAAAGTACACCTATCCCGAGGAACAGTTCGCCAACTTCCGGGACTTTGCCGACATCAACACACCTGCGGACTCGGCTTTCTCCCAGTTCGTGGTGGTTTATGCGGCCAAGAATGCCACCGCCCCCAGCACACATCCCCATCCGAAGAACATTTTTGAGCAGCTAGAGCTGCTCGACCGGGAAAAGGCCCTCGAGGAGGCGGCCCTCAAGAAGCAGTCGGCCAGACCAGGCCAAGTTGGTGGCCAGGCCAAGGTCACCTCCAAGTCGAAGACCAAGCTGGCCAAGACGAAGCTGCAGAAGAAGTACCGGAAGAAGACGAGTCCCAAGTCGGACCCGCTCGACCTGGACCCCCTGCTGGCCCTCAGCTAAGCGGTGCGGTGCGGTGCAGTGCACTCAATGGTGCCGCAGTGCGCCGGCCGGCGAATCATATTCATTTCTCTCCACTGTTAGATTTATTTATTTTATTTCCAGATGAATGCAAATGCAAAAACGCCCACACCGCCCACAAATCAATCGCGTCTTACTCTTAAGAGCCCCCCAAGATCCCTCAAATTTTGTGCTTCATTCCATGCCACTACCACTATCACTATCACTGCCACTGCCACCCCTACTCAACATCCTCAACAGTTCTCCAATCCAAATGTATCTTTATATTTTTTTTTGTTTTACGTCTGTCTGTTTGTCCTGCATCATTCCTGTTGTTAATTCGTAATCTTAGCCCTTAGTCTACTATACTTTATATCTCTATATATCTTATATGCGTATCTAATGTAATGTATTTTTTGTCTAATTGAGCATAATTTTATTATGTGTGTGTACATAAAAGCGAGAAATCGACAAAACCAATCAGCTGTTAAATGTAATCTTAAACCTAAATAAAAACGAAATGAAAACACTCGGATATGAATATTATTTTCGAAGGTGCTCCTCCTCTCATCAAGCTGTCGGCATTGTCTCATACTTGGCATAGAGAGCATTGAGCAGTGTGGTAAAGGAGCCCGCTGTCCTGAAGATCTGTTTACCCACATTACAACAGGGATGAACTCATACATCATACTCGTACATCTTTTACTCACCCAAACGAGTAGAGGCCTCCCCAGATCAAAGAAGTAGGCGCCCAGCACCATGTCCCCCTGGGCCCGCTGCAGGGGCAGCAGTAGGAGCCTCCTATGGTTCGGAGAGAGCCCTTGCCATGGCACTAGCTGGTACAACTGTCTCGAGAAGCCCTCCGCCTCGAGACGCACCTGCTCGGCGCCAAACAGATAGATGCACAGCTGCGTGGTGACCACCATCGAGAAGAACCCGAGGAAGGCTATGTTCTGGTCCGTGTGCGGCATGATGTACTGGCAGATGACGGAACAGTAGAGCACGCAGATGACCAGCACTTCGACGAAGGCGATTTCCCGGAAGGCCGCATTGAAGCGATCGACCAGAGCCAAGAGCCGAGCGTGCTGGGCAAACAGGTGCCCCAGGCCCAGGTCTGGTCGGGAGGGGTCCGATAGAGGCAAGTGCAACTGCAGCTGGGTGGTGAGCCGGCGGTAGTGGGAGCTCAGGGCCACGGCAAACCAGCCGTATAGTGTGTCCACTCCCGTAGTGGAGCAGCAAAAGAACGTCAGCACAAAACCCATCAGGCAGCAGTCCAGGGCATATATATGCGGCTGGGTCACATCGTAGGGAAGTCTGGGGAGGAACAAATATCTCAGATCTGAGCTGATGGCCATGCTCTCCCCTGCTTTCCCACTTACAGCACACGAAAAGAGCTGACAGGCTCGAACCGGTCCGTTTGGTGGAACCGCACCATGGTCAGGGCCAGCGGCATCAGAAGGAAGGAAACGCTCGTCCCGGCGCACATCAGGAAGTAGATGGCTGCCAGCTGCTGGCCGCGACGGACCACTCGGCTGGGGACGGGCTCCTGCAGCTGGTGGATGAGCGAGATCAAGTCGCCGGACTTGACCAGGAAGATGGTCATCTTGAGCAGCGAAGAGATCATCTGAAGGCCGTGCATCAGCGCCTCCGAGCAGAGCACGATCTGGTGTCGGTGGTGCACCATAAAAGCGCAGACGGTACACAGCTCGAAGCTGGTGGCCAGTACCATAATACCGTACAGAACGGGGCGGCGCAGAGCACCGTCACCAGTTGCCGACATCGGTTGCAGGTCGATGCCCATGCGGGCAAAGGTGAAGCGTTGCGTCCACAAATCCGCGAGAGAGACTCCCAGTAGCTTGAACATTTCGATCCCAAATGAGGTCTGAGTAGACCTCACAAAAGGGTGTCAAAAGAACTTCCGGCAATCGCTGGAATTGGGGTGGCAAGTTGAAAAGTTTTGGAAAACTCAATCGCCTAATTAGTGCCATAAATACCATTTAATTTGCGTTGCCTTCGTTAACGCCCCGGACAGCGGATAAACTTGGTTAAATGAAACCGCCCGGTCGGGTTTGGGCCTGCTCTGGGTCTGCTCTGGTGCGGCATGGTGCGGCATGGTGAGGCCTGGAAAATGATTTAATTATACGCCCGAGGCGTCTGTCCGTCTAAACGTCTAAACGTAGGCCAACAGAGCACCACCGCAGCACCGGAGCACAGCTCCCCGCGTCGCTCCGCCCTCCAGCTTTGGGGCACAGTGGTTGACAAAAACCACATACACATACACCACACCATACACTCTTTTTCGAGAAACACTCTTTTGAATTGATGCATTTTCACTTCAAATATTAAAGCATACAACATATCCGTCCATCATATCTCTTCTTTGCTCACTCCCCATAGCAATTATTCTTAATAGGGACTTGACATAGGGTGGGGATTCCCATTTCAGGTGGCGTCGATGGTGCAACGATCGCATAGTTGCCTTCCAAGAAGTTGATGCCACAAGGCATGCAACTCGTTGGACTCTATGAAGGTTTTCTAGGTGAGACTTCATGTTAGCCGTTCGTTTTTGTATCTCCTTGTACGGGAGATGTACAAGGCTCGCACCCTACACAGTTGTCCCACTGTGCGCTCGTCATGGTTAACGGTAACACTTTACTGCTGGTCTTACGACTGGTCCCACTGCTGGTTTTGCTGCATGCCCCCACTGCAGTCGCAGTCGCAGTCGCAGTCATGGTCATTGTCCGCTAGCGGTTCTTACAGCCGTGGGCTACCACTACCACTACCACTGCCACTGCCGCTGCTGCTGGAGAAGGTGACTGCTGGCTACTGCCTTGCTGGTCTATGAATGCGTTTCTTTATCGCACAATTCCCGACTTTGGCATATGTTTTGACATTTGGAGGCTGGCACTTAATTTACGGCCTCACCTTAGTCCCACCACAGCCACGGAGAGCAGTAGGGGCTGCACTCGTACTCGTAGTCATACTCGTGCGAGTGTTCATATGTATGAATGCCAAAGCCAAGACCCGACTTCCATCTGTCGGACGGCGAAGGCAAAGGCTGCTGTATGCTGCTGGTGCGTATGCCGACAGATAAATCTGGTTGTACGACGGGGGCAACAGGCGGCACCAGGCACTCACTTCCATTGCACCGATCTGTTTGGCTAAGTATTTCAATTAACTGGGCAAAACTAATTATGGAAAACTGTAGATCGGGTTTGGGCTCTGGCTCGCCTCTGGAAATTATAGAAATTCAATTAGCGAACAATTGCCGCCCATTTCGATGGTGGGTCGTGGGAAAATTCGTAACTTGTTCGATCCGGAACTGATCCAAGAATCAAGAGTTTATTCTGGAATCTGGAATCTGAAATCGCAGTGGTTCTTCCTATAAAATATATTTCAAAATATGTGTAAAAGAGACGCCCCCCGCGGCGAATCCTCTGTTCGAAAGCGCGGCTTCAATCAGCGTGGTATTTACGATAATTAATGGGATAGGCCAGCGATTCAAATCAATTGGATCCGACTTGCAAATGCTTTAATTAATCAATATGCACAATCCACAGCAATTATACATGCGATTAATGCACATACATATATGGGAAAAAGGTGTGCAAATGATGAATAGATGAATACAGTGGAGGGTGACCTCTTCGGTTAGCGAGTCTACCTTCTCAGTATTTCCACTACATACAGGGTAACCGCATACCCGTACTCGTTGTGGGTACTTTGTACTACTCGTAACATATCAAGGCACTCCTATAGCACAGTTGCTGGCAGCTCTTTAAGGCCATTTGTCAACGCGCCCTGCTAAAATAATGGAAAACAACCGAAAACCAAGTCGAAAAATTCTTTGTGCTCTATGGCATAGGAGAACCATGTCCAGAGAAGAAAAGAGGCAGGAAAAAACACAGATAATACTCGAACACCCACACGGCCTGGCCTGGCCTGGCCTGGCCTGTCGGCTGCCTGAGGTCTCTTGTTTCGACGGTTGCTCGTGTTGCTAATAAACCCGGGCCACGAAAACGAAACTCTGCATTAGATCTCTGACTCTCTGACTCCAGCTGAGAAACTTCAACTCCAACAAATCTGGCGACAAGCCAACACCAACACCGACAACATCGTCAACGACACCGAAACAGCAACAGAAAAGGTTTACACACACTTCACAGCACTGGAATCCGTCGTTTCTGGCCTTATTTTGGTTGAGTTTTGGTTTTTTTTTGGGCTATTTGCGTTTCGTGCCGCTGAAAACTTTATGAATATACAAATCGTGAGCTTAATTGAAATTTATTGTTAATGAAAACAAAATTATGGCAAAGCCCAAGCTATGGCCACTTGACACGAAAGAACACAGAGATCTACGAGCATAGAGAGAGGCTCGAAAAAGAGAACCGAAAATGATTTTGAGCCGGCCCACATGGAGTCACGAGCAGCCATCAGCCAGAAGCCAGCAGCCCTCCGAGTGGCGGGGTAGGGGGCAGGGGCAGGGGCAGGGGCAGAGGCAGAGACCCGCCCATCTCCAACAAACAGGCTGTCATTAATTTAGCATTTAAGCGCTCATTAAGGTGACAGACGGCGACAGCTGACTGACAGTATCGAGTATCGGTGGGTGGATGTGGCAACCAACCTATGCAGCATAACAGGCTCTAGCCCAAAAGTGTAGTACGAGTATGTTACTGATATCGGCCCAAGAATGCCATGGCCTTCACTCAAATGAATCATCTTCTAGTTATTTCTATCGTTATCCGCCTCGAGATCCTCCTTGAGATCTATGAATCATGCACAATCCCTTCCCAGCTCGTCTGTGGCTCCGGTTGCGATTACCATTTGAGATATTGGCTGGTCGATAGATCATGCTAATTGGCATTCCTATTGGATACCATTGGTGACTATTGGAGACGATCGGAGATAGTTCCTTTTATGGCCTTGGGCCTTGGACCCACTCCTACGAGTGCCCGTTCGTGTTCTTCTGCATGGCCCTTGGATCATGTTTGGATCATTCCCATTCCAATTTCAGTTCTTCTTTGGCTCTTTGGTCGGGCCCTAAGTAATGGTAAATATTTGGCGGAACAATTGAACTGTCTCGAGTCGAGTCATGCTTTGGATGGCTGGCTCTTCATCTCCCATTCTACGACTTCTTTGCTGGTGGCGGCTTCTGTTTGCCAACGAACTTTGAAGTTCCTTCATTTTCATTTCTGTGCCTTTCACAGTCGATAGTACGAGCATTTAACGTGGCCAACGGGGCTGCCTGTTGTTGCCAACTAATGCAAATAAATTGTGAGCCCCAGTCACTTGTCAAGCGCTCTTGCTCATCAACTCTGTCGGGGCGCCTTGACTAGACTTCGCAGTCTAGTCATCATGGCAGCCAGCGTCATCATCATCATCACCGCCATCGTCAGAGTCATTCCTGTGATGTGATGGTTCAAGATGAGGCCTAGGAAACGATTGTCTCTCTGTCTGTCTGTCTTGATTGGCAATCCCTCAACAGTGCTGATGGCAAGTAACTGGGTATTCGTGACGATTATCCCCGTGTGAGGTACCTTTTATTCTAGTTTCATATACCAATCAAAAAGCTATGCAAATCAATGATTATCGTACATTTGTCGTAGTTCCCATGGACTCCAGTTGCTGCTGCCTCACGTAGGGCATATCCTTGGCCATCACTCTCTCCCATTTGTTGGCGAAAGTCAATACTGGGCCGAGAGGATCTTTATGGATCTGGCGTGCTGTCACTGTGCGTAGTCGTACTCGTCGATCCGTGGCTCAAACATTTTACTAGTTGCTTTTTAGTTTTTTTTTTTTGTTTGCCCCTGTCTGTTGCGGCTACCGTTCATTGTTTAATGTTGATTTTGCTGTTCTCATTTGCAGGCCGTTGAATGCTGCTGCCTCTCCTGTAGACTGTCAATGTTAATGCAGGAAACTTGAAATATTTTAAGCAGCAACTGCCACAAGATCCGGAGCCGCAGCCGGAGTCAGAGCTAGGCCCCAGAGGCAGATAAACAATTGCGGTATTTGTCGTCGTTTTGTAATGACTTTAATGCCAAGCATAAACAATTATTTTCAATTGCAACACATTCCTTTGTGACTCGAACCGAGAGGCACTGGCACTGGCCGCCATTTGCCATCGTTTGTTGTCTTCGCAATTGGAATTGTAAATTTGAGATGTCGCAGATGTTCGGATGACTCGCAAAGCGTTTGTCCGCTTAGTGCAGAAGTTTGACATGTGACTGGGTCCCGCTTTGATATGTCAATGAGTCAGTCAGTCAGTCAGTCAGTCATGCAGTCTTGCCGTCATTCCGTCATGTCAATCCATGGCTTAGTCAGCCAGCACGTGTCGGGCTTCCACGATGGAAAAGTGCGTTCGTTCCACTCGAACAAAGGAACCAAGCTCTTAGCGGATCGGAGTCAAAGTCTTTCCCCTGGCTCCACTTGAGCACTTCCTTGAGCACCGTTCCTCAGCCACTTGACGGCATTACGCAAAGCATTTGGCCCCCTCCCCAGCCCAGTTCTTCGGAGTGCAACAAAAGCGGCAAAGTGTTAATGGTCATTGTTCAAACAAGCGATAATAATAATTACTCATGTCAATTATTATATAAGACAGATGTCGGCATGCGGCGAAAGCCTCAAAGAGGCATACTGCTGCAGCCACTGAACGGCAACTGCAATTGATTTTGTTGTATAATTTCTACAGCTTTATCTTGTCGGCGGCAGCTGCATGAAATTTATTGAAGATGCTCCATGCTTTATAGCAAGCGGGTCTGTTCGAACGGGACAGGGGCAGAGGCAGAGGCAGGGGCAGGGGCAGGAGCAGTCGATCGTTGTTGCGGTTGTTTAACGAGCCGATGCCCCGTTGCCACTGCCACACAG